GAAAAGGTTTTGCCACACACCGGAAAAAATTTTGCTACACACTGGAAATCAAAATTCAAACCTATTTTGTACCTATTTTCCTCACACATTGCAAAAAAACTTGTACGCAACTCGTGCGGGACGATTTCCCGCACTCGTGTGATAGACTCGCACTCGTGGCCGGTGACGGTAACTCGTACCTTGCGATCACACTCGTGCTACGCACTCGTGTGCTCAACTGGTACTCGTTCCCGTCAACTCCGGCACTCGTGTGAGTCAATCACTACTCGTGCGGGAAATCGTCTTTTCCGCACTTGTTACGTAAATAACTATTTCCAACGTAGGGTGCAACCAACATCCAAAAATAGGAGAAACTCTCAATGTAGGAATAATAATCGACTACTTTAATTCGATACTAAATTACTTATTGAAAACTAAAACAAGACTTAATTTGGAGTAAACTAATTGATAAAGAATATAAAATTTTACAGGGCGATGAGACCTTACATTATAAATCTAATTTTCCCTTACACACCAATGGGAAGGTTAAGCAAAAAAACTCTTGAAATACTCCACGAGTTTACAGATGAGGTACTTATTTAACATAACTTTTCATTACATTTTACATGTTGTATCGAATATTACATTAGGTTTATTCGAGATCATTTTCATTTTTATTTTAAATTAAGGAAACTGAAAATAAAATACAAACGATCGACTTAGTTTTACGATGAATTATATGTTTTGCTTTAAAAAAATGTAGATCTCGATTTTTTTTTTCTGTGCATGAGTACTAGACGCATGACTTTGATTACATATATCATTCGAAAATCCTATTAAAAATTATAAGATAAAAAAATTGCGTTATCTGTACAGCTTAAAATTATTTCATTTCATTCAATTGTCCCAGATAATAAGAGAACGAAAAAAATATCACAAAAGCACAGGAAACAAGTTCTTGGACGAAAACAATGACGAAGTGGAGGACAACGTATTCGATGACGTTCATATAGGTAACAACAAAATTACGAAATTTATTGTCAGTTATGAGACCTGAAGAATTTTTTAGGCCGCAGAAGAAGATTGGCTATGCTCGATTTGCTCTTCGCAGCTGAAAAAAAAGGATTGATCGACGATGCCGGCATCAAAGAAGAAGTTGACACCTTCACATTCGAAGTAAACAACATATAATTGCTTAAGATGCACCATTTCACGCATCATGATTTATTGTAGTTTAAGATACTAATTGAGTGCTCGTTTGAACTATTAATACATTGGTATCTTATCAGGGTCACGATACCACGTCAATGGCCATGACTTTTATAGTGATGCAATTGGCTGAAAACAAGGAAGCACAAGTACCTACACTCGTTTCTTTCCGTTTTCTCGTACATTTGGATTAAAATTGCAGAAAAACCTTACATCGATAAAAATGATGATTTTTTCCAGGACAAAGCCAGACTGGAAGTGACCGAGATCATGAACAACTCCAGTGGCAAGCTGGGAATGACGGAAATCCAGAAAATGGAGTACTTGGAATGTTGTATCAAAGAAGCCTTGAGGCTGTACCCTCCAGTGGCGACGATTGCAAGATACATATACGATGAATTGCAACTAAGTAAATAAAAATTTTATCTAATCATCGGTATCGGTACCCATTTTCTAAAAGTATAATTTATGATATTTTTTTTCATTTTTCAGAAAATGCTCGTTTGCCAACCGACTCTCATGTACTAATTAATTTTTGGGATACCCACAGAGATCCGAATTTCTGGCCTGATCCTGAAAAGTTCGATCCTACGAGATTCACTCCTGAAAATTCTCGAAATCGACATCCTTTTTCTTATTTACCTTTCAGTGCTGGGCCTCGTAACTGCATAGGTTTTTTATTTTTATTATTATTTGTTTACTGAAAAATACAATGCATGCAATTTTTAAATTGAATTAATATTTTATTCATTTAAAGTTTTATCGAAGCTTACATTGGTAAATGTGTTTTTAATTTAACAAACGATAAGTACGACATATGCCATTTAACTGACTGTTAGAATTTAAACATGACTTCTGGCACACATGAATCTTATCTGCAGAGTATAATGACAGTAAACAGTTTTTTTTAGATACTCAAAAACAAATGAAATGCACCCATTGGCATATAATTCGTGTTTCCACAGGACATGGTCAATACAATTCCATGTCATTTAAAACCAAATAGAGCTTTTTGAGGTATTAAAAAATAAAATATTGTCACTCTAGATGATTTTTTTGTACCATATTATTTTAATTTAATGCATTTCATTTTTTTCCGAGTTTAGTCTTTCAAATAATATTTTTCGACAATACCTCAATGAGAGCTTGCTCGATATTTTAACTCTTCGAGACCGAAAATAAAGTCTAAATTAAATTACCAAATCTATACCATATATTGAGTTCATAAAAATACCACACCAAAAAATATATCAATGAAAAAAAAAAAAAAAAAAAAAAAAGCTTTGCTTAAATTTATTGTTAGAAATGTCAAAAAATGTCACTTTTTTATTTGCTTTTTTGACACAAAGATTAGGTATAGGTATATAGGTGTTATTTCCCTGCGTCAATGGATCTTCGAAGGGCAAGACATCCTCTGTTGAACTGACCCACGTGTCCAAAGTTTATTTTTGTCGAAGAAGCCCCAAAATGGCTTGACGGTGCATGTGCGACATCAGATTGCGGTATCGGATGAAGCTCTTTTGGCACACCGAGCAAGTGTAGGGTCGCTCGCCGGTGTGGATGTAAGTGTGGTACGAAAGGTCGCTCGCTCGGGTGAAGCTCTTCGAGCACATGGAGCACCGATAAGGTCGCTCGCCGGTGTGGATGTAAGTGTGGTACGAAAGGTTGCTCGCTCGGGTGAAGCTCTTCGAGCACATGGAGCACCGATAAGGTCGCTCGCCGGTGTGGATGTAAGTGTGGTACGAAAGGTCGCTCGCTCGGGTGAAGCTCTTCGAGCACATGGAGCACCGATAAGGTCGCTCGCCGGTGTGGACGCGCTTGTGCACGGCCAAGTTTCTGCTCTGGGCAAAGGCTTTCGAGCAATCGGGGCACTTGTGAGGTCGCTCGTCGCTGTGGATGCGCATGTGTCTTTTGAGACTACCGTTGTCGCTGAAGTTCCAGGGGCACAAGGTGCAACGGAAGGGCTTCTCACCCGTGTGGATGCGCGCGTGTCTCGTGAGATCGCTATTCCTGGTGAATGCACGCGAACATTCGGCGCAACGATACAGAGGCACGCTGGTGGGGATCGGGCTGCTCGACGAGTCCACAGAGCAAAAATGGGATGACGAGCCACTTGAGCTTGCAAGATCGATGCTCCGGTCAAGAGTTTGCTGTCCATGGCGTACGGCGCTGGAATCGTAGAGTTGCCCATCTTGATGGATGCTTATGTGTTTTTTCAGATTGCTCGATGAGTCGAAGTCTCGTTGGCTCGTGGAGCTCTTGAGGGGCCGGTCATCGGTGTGGAGTCGCGCTTGTCTCTTGAGGTTGCTGGTATCGTTGGAGGCTCGTTGGCACGTGGAGCACTCGTGGAGCCCCTCCCCCATGTGTAGGGTACGCATGTGACTTGACAGATATTTGAAATCGGTAAAAGCTCGTTGGCACACGCTGCAGCTTTGCTTTTGACCCTCAGCCATTCTGGTTGATATACTTTGTTTGCCGGTCCTCCTAGTTTTTTTTTTTTTTTTTTTTT